TGTCAGGTGGGGCCCGACTTGGTGTACCTAAGATTACAGATGCCCAAAACCCAACCGATCGGCAAGAGACAGTTATCATAACACAGGTATAATTTCCAAAATTCATTATTCATAGGAATTGAACCTTAGATCTGCCACTTGAGGGTTGACAAAGCATAGGTGAAGTTCATTATGATTGGCTAATAAATTTTAAAAATGGTCACCAAAATTTAGAGATGATCATGCATTATTTATATTTTGTGCTACTATAATTTTGGGTTCGATTGTAAGCAAAAAAAACAAACCATATTTATTTTTTATTATACTATATGAAAAAACATTTGTATATAAATATTTAAAACAAGCGTAAAGCTGCATCAAGACGATTGCTTATATTATTATCTATCTCAATTTGACCAATATTATCATTATTATATTTATATTCACATTCACTTTCATTATCATCTTCAACTTCATTATTGTTAGGTTCAATTATTTCGTTCTCATTAATTCCAAGCTTTAATCGATCTAAATAAGATTTTGTTAGTTTATAAATCTTTTTTTCATAAAATTTAAAGCAATATAGACATGAATTATTTAATAAATTAAGACATCGTATATGATAAGCATGCCCGCATATTAATACTTTTCCTGGTTCTAACCTGCTTAATTTACATTTTGTTGCATCACAAAATTTGTTTTTTGAAGGCTTTTTTAAAATATGATATCCAATTGGTAACCATTTGATATCAACAGTTGTATTAAATGCTACTAAAAAACATTTAGAGTGTTATTTTGAAGAAATTATATAACTTTGGCCATGTTTATTTCGAATATCAATAAATAAAGATAATAAAAATTCAGCAGACATTTCTCCTAGTTGCTTTAATTGATGTTGAGTATATGGATAATGTGTAGATTTAACAAAAGCATCACGAAATCCATTTTTATGCCTATTATGATCAATAAATAAAGCCTTATTACGAAGAGAATATGCATCCAATCGTTGTCCTGATGTTTGGCGTCGAAGAATGCTATGAAAATTTTCAACATAATAATCAGTAAAAAGTGGAAGATGAGTTTTCAAAGCAGTAAGAATCGGATGATTAATTGAATTCCAATAAAATATGTCAAAAAAAAATACTAAAGGGAGTTTGTCATAATTTTTTCGTTTGAAGCAGCAAAAAATTGTCCACAACCGAAATATTGTTTCAAGATACTCATTCCATTTTCCGGCTTTAAACAATGCTGTATATATATCAATAGTCGCTGAAACAATATTATCAAGTAAGTCTATAAATGTTTGATATTCTAAATCTTTAAAATTATTTATACGAGTTATAATAGTTGGTTTAATTTGAAGCCATCCTATATAAGCAAGATAAAGCAGTAAATCAGATCGCTATACTTTAGGCTTTTCTGCTAATTCTTTATTTTTCCAAATTGATTTAAAAAGTTTGCTAAAAAACTTGTGATATACTAATACTATTGTTTGACGTGAGTTTAAAGATATATGTAATGGGCCAAGCATAGGAATAAATTATAAAATTAGATCAGGTATCAAGGTTTGATTTTCAAGTATCAATTTGTGAACAATAGCACGACGAATATAAAGCTGTCCAGGAAAATCAACAGGAACTGGTACAATAAAAGAGTTAAGATATTGCCTAATAGGCTGTAATCGGGTATAAGTATTAATAGCTTTTAAGTAATCATTCATAGAATGAAGATCTAAGGGAATTAAATCAACAAGCTTAACATCTTTCATTGCTCGTTCTTCTTTGCATTCTGCTATATCCGAATCATACATATGCATTGTTAAACTGTCAATTAATATATCATCAGATAAGTTTGTTATTTCTTGAATATTATTCCACGCCTTTTTTCGATCAGTATAACTTGTACCAAAAGCTTGCATATATTCTGTATGAAGCTTTGAAATTATAATATTAGCATCGATAAATTCAGGATTATGAATATTAAATCCTGTCGATGAATAATATGAACTTGGTGCACAATATTTTAATAAATTAACACAAATAGTAGCCATGTGATTTATTGAATGAAGTGAAGTCACATTGGGCATTCATTTTTCGTGTATATCATGATAGTCATCAATATTTAAAAAATGCGCATATTTTAACTTTAATTTAAAAAATTTTATTAAAAAATATATTAAATACACATTATTTAAAAATATTATACAATAGAATACCTGATTTTGAAAATATATTTCAAGATCTGAATCTCGTGCTTTTAACAATTTACATCTTTTTGCTGCAATAACTCTATATGATGCAGTGATGTCTAAAGTAGCCAATGCATCAATTCCTTGTTTCGACAACCCCATAGTCATTAAACTAATACCAGCATCTATCTAAAATAAAAAAGTATACAAAATAATTATTATAGCGCTAAAATAATACTAATAATCTTATTTAATATTTATCTTCATTAAATTAACAAACTTATTACGCATTCCAGCAAATTCATAGCAAATACCAACAATTCTACATTTGTTAACATCGCTATTCTTTTCTTTTGGACTAGTCATTTTAACCATCGCATTAAAAAAAGATTTTAAATTCGGATTATAATTATTCAACATTGTTATAAAATCATCAGGATCATATAAAACATCTTTGTGCTATCGATGTTGATAATCATACAAAGCATCAGTAAGAGCTTTACCATAATAACACAACATACTCTTAAATTTTTCAGAATCTATTAATTAAAACTTAATATAAGAAACTATATATTTATTAACATAATAAATTATAAATAAATTAAATTAAAAAAATACCTTGGTTTCGCATTACTAATTTTGTTTGTAGAATTTGCATCTCTTCTTTGACTTGACTTAAATCTTGTCTAAGTTGATTAATCTCTTTTTGAGATACTAATTTTTTATATTCACCTTTAGGAACTAACATATATTTGTTTAATACCATAGTTTTAGAATTTACATTATGATCGCTAATGCTATAAGATTGATTAACAGTTCGTTTGATTCGCTTGATGGTTGTATGCTTTTTCTTCTTCCACTTTCTTTTATTTACTGGATTTACTATCATATTACTATAGCATGAATGACAGAGATATCGTGATTCATTGAACTCAGTAAGTTTAAATCCATTGTCTTCAAGCTTTTTCATAGCAAGAGTGGTAACTTTTCAGTAACAAATTGTTTCCTGATTTGCAAAACAGACACAGCATGGCCCAGGGTTTGATGCTCTTCCCATTTGTTAGATAATTTAAACTGAAGCCAACAAGAGCCAAATGATATGATATTGAGACCAAAAAAGATGATATGATGGTCCAAAAAAAAAAAAAAATGATATGATGGCCAAACAAATGATATGACAGCCAAAAAAAATGATATGGCGGCCAAAAAAACTGATATAGTGGCCAAAAAAATGATATAGAAGCCAAGTAAATGGTGTTAGTATAAGCCAACAAATGGCCAGGTAAATGTTGTGGAATTGAAATGGATTAACACCCTTTTACTGGATTAACTTTAGCGAACACTTATAAAACAGATAAACGAAGGTATTTATGCAAAGAAGTTCATTGTACTACGATTCTATGCGAAATTTAGCAAACGTCTATCATACCTTTATATGTACCTATATAAATTATAGTCTAAAATTTTGACCAATCACAGAGATCTTCACCTATGCTGGTTGACAACCTATCCACTTCACTAGGTCACCACACCCCTTAAGATTTTAAAATTATATTTGTAACTATATAAATATTTTTAATATTTAAGTCTAGCATTATCTAGCTACTTTAATAATATCTAAGTGCAACCTGTTGTATTATTTTAAGCAAAAGTAAGCTGCTTGTCTAACTACTTAAAGTTTATAATAAAATTAGGCTAGCTGTGCAACATAGTCATGCTAAAATCAGAAATATTGTATAATCATATAATAGCAAGATTAAAGTTTAAATTTTAGCAAATATGCATTTTGAATTATTATATGTATATTGTATAAAAAAGATAGATAATATGTTTGATTTATAAGTTATATATTTAATTATTATTACTACTTAATAAATATATATTTATTGATATTTGCATGTATGCATGTTGGGATAGAATTTTTTTTTATAGAATTTTTATTCAGTTAAAAGTTAAAGATTAAAACATTATATTTTAAAGATGGTTATTTTAGATAACTTTGTGGATTTATAGTTAAAATGAGTTTAGTAAAATGTAAAAAAAGGGTATCATTATGTACTGTACAATTAATTATAAATAATTGTAGAAGATTAGTTTAAAAGAATAATTATTATATAGTAAGACATTATTTAGATACATACTACAAAGACCTTATATTATAATATTGATATTCAATTAAATATAAAATTTTGTTTATATGCTAATTCTATATACATACTCTAAAGATCTTTTATCATATGAGAGAAAACCTGTAAATGATTTACAGGTTTTTTCTTTTTATCACTTATATAATTCTGATATTCAATCAAATATAAGATTTTGTTTATATACCATTCTAGATAGCAGAAAACCATATACTCATTGCATTCATTCCTAGTAAGATCTTTTCTTTTTTATAACAAGTCTTAATAATGATTTTATTATTTCTTTCTTAATTTGTTTTTCTTTTTCTTACAATTTTTTTTCTTCTATTTTTTGCTGATTTGTTTTTTCTTTTTTACTTGATTTTTTTATCTTTTTCTTTTGTTCTCTTTTTACTCTATTTATTATTTTAATTTTTTTCTTTTATTTGTTAATTTTTCTATATCATATTCTTTATATATATTCATTAAAAATATCTTAAGCTGGGGGTGTGGTGACCTAGTGAAGTGGTTAGGTTGTTAACTTTCAAGTAGCAGATTCAGAGTTCAAATCCCAGTGTCAACAGAAAATTTAAAAATTTTCTTTGTATTATAGTTAACTGTTTTTTGCAATTGGTTAGAATAAGATACCTGTTACCTATATTGCATCAGCATGACTGGCAGATCACATGGCATTTGTGCAATAGTCACATGACATTATTCTTTGAAACAAGGTCTGTGGTTATATAAAGGAATGCAAACTGGTACTAGGTAGTGCAAACCTACAATAAGTTCTCATGGCCATGTAAATCATAAGAACCAAAAAAAGAAAGATGGAAGCCTACTTGGAAGACCTAAGTAAAGAGGTAACCCAAACTTTTGATGATGCTACTGTAAAGACTAGACCTATGAAATGGAGCTAGAACTTGTGAAACCAGACAAATGTGCTGGTCTTTAAGAAGGGATTAGATGAACCAATCAGGCTGTTGGAATTGTCAAATTTCAAAGAAAAAGGTTATATACTGGCAAATATGTAAACCAGAGGTGTATAATTTTGACTTGCCTTTCTGAGCTATCTGGTTTGGCAGCTTGGTGGAACTTGAATTGAATACCAAAGTAGTAGGAATATGTTGTGAAGTCAGTACTAGGGTTGGAGTGAACTCTACAAGGGCATAGCAGTTTAATGATACATCCTAACCACTAGTATTGGTCTTAGCCATAGTGATACTAGGTTAGCTGTAAGAATAGAATACAGAAGATTCTGGAAGGTTTAGTACAAGGTCAAAGGTTC